CGCTGTGGCTCAAGTGGTAGAGTGCTAGCCTTGAGCTGAAGAGCTGAGGGACAGCGCCCAGGCCCAGAGTTCAGGCCCCACAACCGGACAAAAAAAAAAAAAAAAAGAAAAAAGCTGCATGCTGCAAGGTTTTCCCTGGAGCAGGGAGAAGGGACTCTGTGATCAGCATTCCTGCCCCAATTTACATCAGAAGGGTCAGCCTAGGTTGCGCCCTGTGACTGGCATGTAGACCCAGGGTTTGAACCTTCACCTTGCCAAGTTCACAGAGCTTTGCAGTACAATCCACGCCACTTGCAGGCCGGCACGTAGGGGCTTATAAGGAGGGCTGCATGTGCAGGTCAGGTGACAACTCTGCTCTGCCTCCATTATTAAAGTAAAACAGCATAAAGATGGCAGAAGATGAGCATGGGGCTGAGCAGGAACAGGATGCACCCTGTTACTGCCACACCTCCGCTTTCTCTCCTAGTATGTGGAGACAGTCACCTCCCGCCAGAGCGACATCCAGAAGTTCATCGCTGATGGCTGCAGAGAGGCCCTGCTGGAGGAGAAGCGGCGCTTCTGCTTCCTGGTGGACAAGCACTGTAGCTTCACGGACCACATCCACCACTACCACGTGAAGGTGGGTGCGGGCTCGGGCCTCCTGCTCCAGCCAGACCATTCCAGAGGGAGCTTTTACCCCAGTACAGAGCCCATAGACATCCCGGGGAAATGGACAGGTGCCTGCTTGTAGTGTGGGATGTAGAAGTGCATCCATTTTGAAAATCATCTTGTAAAACAAATGCTCAGGCTGGGCACTAGTGGCTCAGGCCTGTCATCTTAGCTACTCAGGAGGCTGAGATCTGAGGATTGTGGCCAGCGTGGGCAGAAAAGTCCACTCTTCCTCTGTGAGTCATCTATCTTATGTATCTACAATGCATCTACAGCATTGATGTCCTTCCTAGGGCCAGCTCGAGTGGTCCAAGGCACTGTCTTGCTACGGCTGTGGAGCAGGTCACCAGCAGCCCTGCCCCTTCTCAGGCGTCAGGACACTGTGTTCCAGGAGTCCTTCCTGTCCCTGCTGCAGAGGGCTGACAGGAGGAGGTCCCTCTGACACGTCAGCTATGGGGATGCCAGAGACTAATACACTTCTTTTAAATGATGAATTCTCTTATGCCTGTGCAGCTGTCCAAAACCAGCACTAGTTAAGATCAGGTACTCTCCATGGCTCACGGAGAAGTGATCTAGAGTGTTCTGCATCATCCGAGAAGCTTGACCACAGCTTCTTCTTTCAGGGCCTTGCATATCTGCACACATTTGTTGTATATTCTGCAAAGGTTCTGTTGGCTACCTAATATGAATAACCACCATGTGTAACATTACACTTGGTTTCCATGGTGAGGGCCTTGCACAGCCTTGAGGCTCTCTTCCCTAAGGCAGCACCCCACTATGTCAGAAGGCACCTGGAGTGCTTTCAGAGAGTGCTGGCTATTGGCCACAGCATTCTTAGACTTGACCTTGAGTCCCAGTAATCATTTATCCCCTCCCTCTTGGCAGCCAAAGCCCAGAGCTCCTACAGGCCCAGCGCTAGTCCAGATGTGTGTGGGGGGGGTTGTGCTCTCCCCGACATGTGTCCTGCTGATGCAGATCTGATCAGAACAGTAAGGTTGCCATGCATGAAGCTTCCAGAAAGTTCCAGCTTCCCCTTCCCAGATAGACTGCTGACCTGGGAGAGTAGGGGAGAGCACCTGGATCTCCAGGCTCTGCCTACTTATGTCTTGAGCTGCAGCCCAGCTGTTCTGCAAAGGCCTGAAGGTGTCCTTCAGTGTGTCCTCATGCTCACCTGGAGCACGGCCTCGGAACCCACTTCCCAGAGTGTCGTTGGCCTAACCACGCATGCATGCACGCACATACACAGACACGCGAGCCCGCCAGTTTCCCTGAGATCAAAGATTCCACCCCTGACCTTTCTTATTTGGCTTTTGAATTTTTAATTTTTTTTAATTTTTTGGTGGTAGGGAGTAGAGAGTTTGGGGTTTTGTTGTTGTTGTTGTTTTGTCTTCTTCTGTGCTCTGAGGGTGAGCTGTGTCTCCACTGACTCGTGTTTCTTTTTGTTTGTTTGTTTTTCTCCTTGTTTCACTGTTGACACAGTGCCTCACTATGTAGGCCAGGCAGGCCACAACTTGGGATCCTTCTGCCTCAGCCTCCCAAGTGTTGGCATTACAGGTGTGCACCACCACACCCAGCTTGAACATATCCTTAATCACTATGACCCCTGATCTCAGTATTCCACTCCGTGGATCAAATTCAGCCCCTTCCCTTCTGAAACAAGCAGTAATGCACCATCCATGCAATCTGTCACCAGGCGCCTTTGCCATTGGTTTTGCTTCTTTTGGATTTATAGTCTGCAGAATTACTGAGTTCCAAACTGCCCAGGTGGCATGAAACCTGCTGTGATGCCACCAAAGTGCCAGAGAAAATCATGAGCATGATCGAAGAGATAAGGACCCCAATCTCCACCCCCACATCCATGACGCCCCAGCCGTCGCCCATGATCGAGAGAAGCAACATGGTAGGTGCCCCTTCCCTCTCCTCAGTTGCATGGTGCCCTGGTTGTGTGTTGGGGCCAGATGGGCTCTGAGCAGAGGCAGAGGGCTGCCCCCATTGGTGGAGACCACAGGCCTCGTTCTTACTTCCAAGCCCACCACTTCCCATGGCCACCCCCCTTGTCTTCAGAGCTGAAGCAAGCCACGCACATGAGTTTTCCAGCAATGACAGAGGTGTTGTCTGGAGGCGGGACTCTACAGTAGAGCGCCAGCCGTGAGCTGGGCTTTATAGCTTTATTTTCACAAATGTACAGGGAAAGCTGGAGCTGGCTGGCAGTTTGGATACCTGAGTCCATCCTGCCTGTCTACCTAAGGGCCCTGGAATGATGGGAACTGCTTTAAAACCCAGCTGCCTGCCCATGGGGTCTGGTGCAGGCCCAAGGCTAAGCAGGACAAGGTGCAGAGCCGGCAGGTGTGGAGTGGGAGGACATCGTGTCTCTCCCCCGTCTCCCTGTGCCAAGCGACAGGCAGCAGCCCCCCCCCCGCACCCCTCATCCCCGGCCAGAATAGCCTGGCATGATGCCCTAGAGTGCATCCAGTGCCAGCCTTCCCCACACACACGGGCACAAAGTAAAGGCGCACATGGCCTGGGCTGGAGGCAGCAGTGAAAAGTGGATTCTCTGTAGTTGGGGTGATGGGCTATGGGGTTTGCCTCGGGGTTTGGGGAGGCAGTGGGGAGGGGGAGGGGGATATCGGAAGGCCTATGAATTACTTGGTGCCCAAGCAGGTGGGGGGATTTCTATGCCACTCCATCCTGCTTCCGTACATGGTTAGACTCCTTCCAAAACAAGATGGGGAAGATATGGGGGTTTGAGCTCAAGGCCTTGTACTTATTCAGCAAGTACTTTACCACATGAGCCACACCTCTTACCGCCTCCCCCCCAATTTTTTTTACATGGGATTATCCTTTTCACCCCTCCCTCCAAAACAGCACTAGTGGTCGATGAGCCATTAGTAAAAAGGGACTCAGAACTAGGCGAAAGGACTGTCCCAACACTGCCATAAGAAAAGGGGTTCAAGCCAGGCGCTGGTGGCTCACACCTGTAATCCTAGCGACTCAGGAGGCTGAGATCTGAGGATTGCATTTCAAAGCCAGTCCGGGCGGGAACATCCATAAGACTTTTTTTTTTTTTTTTTGTCTGTTGTGGGGCTTGAACTCTGGGCCTGGGCGCTGTCCCTCAGCTCTTCAGCTCAAGGCAAGTACTGAGCCACAGCACCACTTCTGGCTTTTTCTGCTAATGTGGTGCTGAGGAATTGAACCCAGAGCCTCATGTATGCAAGGAAAGCACTCTACCACTGAGCCACCTTCCCAGCCCCTCCACGAGACTCTTATCTCCAGTTAACCACCAGAAAACCAGAAGGAGCGCTGTGGCTCAAGTGGTAGAGTGCTCGCCTTGAGCTGAAGAGCACAGGGTCAGCGCCCAAGCCCAGAGTTCAAGCCCCACAACCAACAAAAAGGAAGAAAGAAAAGGGGTTCAGAAGATGAGAAGGGGGATGAATACCCAGAAGACAGGCTGGACCCTGGGGGTTCAATCCCCTCACCCAAACCGTGCCAACACCGCCTGAGGAATCCCCACCCAGCAAGAGGAGCCCTCACTGCCGCCTGTGCAGCCCGTGTCACCTGTGTCTGCCCCTCACCCTCCACATTGTCCTTGGACTGAGGGCCAAGGTCTAGCAGCCAGGGACCTGCCCTTCATGGATTGGGGTTGAGACACACACAAAGACCAGTTAGGTCCCAGGGGCCCTGAGTGCTAGAGACTGCCTGCCATGAGCGGGCCTGGTTAGAGAAACAGCACAAAATGTTTGCCACCATAACCGGCCCTGCTTGGTTGAAAGGGAAGCAGTGAATGAAGTTTCTAGAAAGCACGAGGTGCCCTGCCAGAGATTAATGGAGGTGAGGGGGAGTAGCTGTTTCTTCTTTTTTCTTTGTTGGTCAATCATGGGACTTGAACTCAGGGCCTCGACGCTGTCTCTGAGCTCTTTGCTCAAGGCTAGTGCTTTACCACTTGGAGCCCCAGTGCTACTTCCAGTTTTCTGGTGGTTAACTGGAGATGAGTCTCGCAGACTTTCCTGCCTGGGCTGGCTTTGAAGTATGAGCCTCAGATCTCAGCCTCCTGTGTAGCCAGGATGGCAAGCATGAGCCACCGGCGCCCGGCTTTTTTTCTTTTGACAGCGAAGGACACTATTGAAATAATTTAAATGGGAGCATTGTCAAAAGTGGCAGAATTTGGGGGAGACAGTGGGACTGAAAAGATGCATATAACACTCCCCCCCCAATCTGTCACCCACTGCTGGGGTACTCTGTCATCAAACTAACCAAGGCTTCTTCCAGGTCGGGAAGGACTATGACACGCTTTCAAAATACTCACCAAAGATGCCCCCCGCTCCCTCAGCCAAAGCCTACACCAGCCCCCTGATTGATATGTTCAATAATCCAGCCACAGGGGTGCAGACGTTAGAAAGGACAAATCACTCAAAAGGTAAGATATTTCCTTTGATTTCTTGTATGGCACCTTCATAAAATTTTTAAAGTAATTTGTAAAATAAATAGCCAGCATATCCTGACAGCTAGGTAACCAAACATGGTAGATTGGTCTGAGCTTCAAATAGCTTATTCCTCAAGGCTGGTAAGGTAGGGCTGAGAGCTGGGCCCTGGAGCCAACTCTATAGTTATGGAGAGGGGGGAAAAAAGGTATAGACCTTAACATACTCTACCTACTGATGGCTGCTTACATAGGATAGATGTGCTACTGAGAAATGTTATTGAGCAGGGTGTGGTGGTGCATACCTGTAAACCCAACACCCGTGAGGCTTTAAGGCAGGAGGATCAAATGTTAAGGCCAACCTGAGTTGGCCTTCTTGAGACTCTGTCTCAAGAAACCAACAAAAAAGAATAATAATGATGATGATGGGTTGGCATGTACATAACCTAGCTTTGCACTGTGTGGTGGTGGTTTTTTGTTTTGTTTTTAGTAAAGCCAGCTATAAAAGTTTGCATGACAAAATCTTGGTGTTGTTTCTTTTTTTTTTTTTTGCCAGTCCTGACCTTGAACTCAGGGCTTAGGCACTGTCCCTGAGCTTCTTTTGCCCAAGGCTAGCACTCTACCACTTGAGCCACAACGCTGCTTCTGGCCTTTTCTGTTTATGTGGTACTGGGGAATCGAACCCAAGGCTTCATGCATGCGAGGCAAGCACTCCACCACTAAGCCACCTTCCCAGCCCCAAATCTTGGTTATTAATCTTACCCACAGGCATCATAGAACTCTCCACACTCACCCTCTCCGGCAGGGCGCCTTGTGCTTTCTGGAAACTTCACTTCTTCCCTTTCAACCAAGCAGGGCTGGTTATGGTGGCAAAAGCTTGGTGCCGTTTCTCTTAGCAGGCCCGCTCACCCCATGCAGTCTTTAGCACTCAGGGCCCCTGAGACTTGACTGGCCTTTGTGTGTCTCAGACGTGACTATGGGGCCAATCGGTCGTGGGTTCAGACAGAGCTGTTTCCACGCTGGCGATGAGGACTGGGGTCTTTTGCTTCTAGAGGAGTTGAGTCGGCACCGAGTCTTTTCAGTAAGCCAAAAAAGAGGGAGAGACAGGAGTAGTAAGGAGATGGCAAAACCATGTTGTCATGGTGAAGAATTGGCCAGAGGGCAGCAGGAGCCCCAGTTGTTGAAGGTCCAGTCTGCACACAGCCCTGTAGTGTGGGCTCTGGGCTGGGTTCCTCTAGATAGGCCTGGCACCGCTTGCTGTGTGTGACCCGGGCCAATTCAGGATTCTTCTGCTCTCACTTTCCCCACCAGTCAGGGCACTGGCAAACTGGTGGGTGCTGCGGAGCGGTGAGGTGGGTGGTTGCTGGCGCCAGGGCTGCTGGTGGTAGAGCAGTGACAGAGCACAGTGTGTACCAGGCCCTGACTGCCCTGCAGGCCCCGCCCCACATGGGCGAGACTGGACAGAGAGGGGGCCTGGGCCTGTCCTCCGGCCAGTCCCTGACCACTCAGGGCCACGCCCCCGACCCTCAAAAGCCACACCTCTGACTGCTCAAAGCCACACCCCTGTAACAGACTCATCCGAGGACCCCAGCTTACAGCGGTCGGTGTCCGTCGCCACTGGCCTGAACCTGATGAAGAAGCAGAAGGTGAAGACCATCTTCCCTCACACGGCCGGCACCAACAGGACTCTGCTGAGTTTCGCAGAGGGAGACGTCATCACGCTGCTTGTCCCCGAGGAGAAGGATGGCTGGCTCTACGGGGAGCACGACACCACCAGAGCGTGAGTCAGGGTGCGCGTCGGCGGGCTCCCAGAGCTGCCCGCCGTCATTGGGTGCAGGAGCACTTTAGCTGGAGTCTGGTTTGCTAGTGTCTGTGCCGCTGCACTGAAGCCAGATGGTTTCACCCCCCACAGAGATGTGCACGTTCCTTTGTTTTTATTTTTTATTTATTTTGTCAGTCGTAGGGCCTGAACTCTGGGTCTGGGCGCTGTCCCTCAGCTCTTCAGCTCAAGGCTAGCACTCTACCACTTGAGCCACAGCACCACTTCCAGCTTTTTTTTTCTTTTTGCTTATGTGGTGCTGAGGAATTGAACCCAGGGCCTCAGGCATGCAAAGCAAGCACTCTACCACTGAGCCACCTTCCCAGCCCTGTTCCTTTGTTTTTAAAATGGACCTGTTTCTCAGGAATAATAATCTGGGGGGGTTTTGGTTTGTGGGTTTTTTTGGGTTTTTTTCCTTGTGGTACTGGGGTTTTGAACTCAGGCCTGGTGCTTGCTAGGCATGACACTTGAGCCACGTTGTCAGCCCTCTTGGCATTGGTTATTTCTTGGTAGAGGGTCTTGCTTTATGCCCAGTCCTGCCTGGGCCACAATCCTCCCATTTGTACTTTCCCAGGTAGCTGGGGTAACATGCGCAGTCATTGATTTGCTCCAAGCTGGCCTCAAACTGTTTAATGCCCTGGCCTCTACCTCCCAAGTAGCTTCCAGCAATGGCTTGAGTCCGTGCACCTGGCCTCGCTCGTCTGCATCAGATGTGTTTTCAGATTTAAGACAAGGGCTGGCCGTGGCCCGTGCACACCTGCAATCCCAGCTACTGCTCCCAGCTGCTCTGGAGGTAGCGTCAGGAGGATCTTTGTTGGAGGCCAGTCCAGACAAAGCGGCAACACCCTGCCTCAAAAATAAAATAGAAACAAAAGGACTTGCGTGTGTTCAGCACATATGAGGCACTAGGTGCCGTTCCCGCACCAGACAAGGCGAAAGATGTCAGCGCCGAGTCACTTCAGTGAGATCATGCGCCTAACTGGCCCGGCTGCTAGCCTGCCACGGGAGCGAAGTCCCCGAGGGAAAACGGGGTGGTGGGTGGGGTGGGTGCACACAGCCCCCTGTGCCAGGCAGCCTCATGGGAACCAGGGACACTTCTCTGTCGCACTCACAGGAGGGGGTGGTTCCCGTCCTCGTACACCAAGCTGCTGGAGGACAGCGCCGAGGAGGCCACCACTGCGCCTGCGCCCAGGTAGCAAGGCTGCCCGACCCCAACGCCCCACTAACCCACACCCCAGATGTAACCCACACCCTGGGGGCGGCACCAATCCCAGATGTAGCCCCACACCCTGGGGGCAACACGCATCTTGCCATAGACCCCCACTCGTAAAATGAGAAAACCAAAGTCCAGCAGTGTCCAGGAACCTGCTCCAGGAAGAGCCATTTGGGCCTCCGTGTGGAGAGTTTTGTGTGTGGGTTCGAATGGCTCTCCTGTGGACCCCCAAGAGCCTGGGAGCCTTCCAGGACCGCCCCGTGTGTAGCCCTGGCAGAACAGCTTAAATGCCCCTGTGCCCAGAACTTAAAAGTGTCACTTTTAGAATGCTGAAACTCTGAGTTTCGTTAGGCATGGTAGCGCATACTTGTAATCCCAGCACTGGAGAGGCTGAGGCAGGAGGATCTCAAGTTAAAGGCCAGCCTAGGCCCATCTCAAAAAAAACCCAGAAAACAAAAGGGGGAAAATAACCCAAAACCTGAGTTTTTCCATTTTTTTCCAAGTGCTTGGTGTGTGTTGGCTCTGGAGCTTGCTGCCACCTCCCTTTTCCTGATTTTCCAGATTTAATCTGCTTAAGAGCCACCCCCGTCCTTAGTCCTGTCCTTGAAAGAGTTGCCTTTGAGTATAAGCTTCTGTTGGGCAGGTGCCGTATAGCAGAGTCTGTGCTATGGGGCGCTGGGGACCCAGGTTGGGGGGGACCCTTCTCTGATTTGACTCCGTGCCTTGGCTTGGAGCGCGGCCCCGGTGAGGAGCGTCAGCACGGTGGACCTGACCGAGAAGGGCAGCGTGGCCATCCCGCCTCCTGACTACCTGCAGTGTCAGCCCACGCCGGACCCTGCCAAGAACACCTCCACCTTCAGAGCCCCGTCCAGACCGGACAGCGCCACGCCGGTGAGTGACCACACGGCCTCCGCGCCCCCTGGCGGTCACCTGCCCCTCCCCACTCCTTGCAGGCGCTTCTCTTTGCCATTGCTTCCTAAGGGCAAAAAGCTCTCACCTCAGGGCATTTGCTTGTGTCAGCATGCAGTCGGTGTGGCAGTCCTTATGTTAATAAGATCCATGAGGGTAAGCCGGGCGCTGGTGGCTCACGCCTGTAATCCTAGCTACTCAGGAGGCTGAGATCTGAGGATCCCGGTTCAAAGCCAGCCCAGGCAGGAAAGTCCATGAGATTCTTATCTCCAATAAACCACTAGAAATCCGGAAGTGGCACTGTGGCTCAAGTGGAAGAGCGCTAGCCTTGAGCTGAAGAGCGCAGGGACAGCCCCAGGCCCAGAAGTCAAGCCCCAAGACCTACAAAAATGGGGGGTGGGCCCATACAGAGCAACCAAAGATAGCCAGGTACCAGGGGCTCACACCTAGAATCTTAGCTCCTTGGGAGGCTGAGGTCAGGAGGATCATGGTTTGAGGCTAGCCCTCAAGTTGGTGACAGGACATCTAGTTGTGGGGTTTCATTAAGTGTAGATGATGTAGTGGAGGACAGAAGGCAGGGCAGGCCGGAGCTCAGACTGCACCCACTCTGCCATCCAAGAGAGGACTAGGGCACGGCGTTGGTGTGGTGAAGTCGCCTGTTCACCACTGCTATGAGAAGGAAGTTGTCAGCTGCTTCCTGGCAGCTGTGGCAAGTGTGACAAAAGGTGTAAGTAAAGTAGGTGTGCAGAGCGGCTGGTGAGCGGCACAGATCCACTGCCCACGAAGCCAGGGCTCTGGGTTGTGCCCTCCGAGCCCCGGGGGCGGCTGGGAGGCTGCGCGATGGTCCTATGCAGTGGGGGGGGGGGTGATGAGGACCAATTCAGGACTAGTGGCCAGCCACAGCCAGCCGCAGCCAGCCCAGAACAAGCACTGTCCTGCCCGTAACCCAGGAGTGGTGGCTTTTTTCTCATGTGCATATTTTAAGAGCCATTTTTCAATAATTTACACAGTTCCCACTCTACCTCTTGAAACGGGCCAGCATTTAAGAGAGAAAAAAAAATCCTTTTCTGAAGTGGAGACACAGAGCCGTGAGTGTTGGGCTTCTGAAGAACTAAGCAGGGCCTTAGATGAACTTGTCTTACACACAAAGTTAGTTCAGGATGCATACAGCCACTGGAGAGCAGCTTCCCACGAGTGCTAGTAAAAAAAGCATTAAGCCTGGCGCCAGTGGCTCACACCTGTAATCCTAGCTACTCAGGAAACTGAGATCTGAGGATTGCAGTTCAAAGCCAGCCCAGGCAGGAAAGTCTGTGAAACTCTTTATCTCCAGTTGACTACCAGAAAACCCGAAGTGGCGCTGTGGCTCAAGTGGTAGGGTGCTTGCCTGGAGCTGAAGAGCTGAGGGACAGCGCTCAGGCCGAGTTCAAGCTCCTGACAAAAAAAAATTAAGTTGGGTGGTGCCAATGACTCAATCCTAGCTACCCAGGAGGCTGAGATCTGAAGATCATGGTTTGAAGCCAGCCTGGGAGGAATGTCTGTGAGACTCTTATCTCCAATAAACCCCAGAAAACTGAGCAAAAGAGCTCAGGGACAGTGCCAGGTCCTAGATTGAAGCCACACAAAAGACTCCCTCCCTTCCCCCACCCCCCCCCAAAAAAACCCAGCTTTTATTTCATTTATTTAATTGGTTGTGGGGCTTGAACTCCACACACCATTTCCAGTTTTTGAGTGCTTAGTTGGAAATGAGTCTTATGGGGACTTTCTGCTTGGGCTGGTTTCAAACCATGATCCTCAGATCTCAGCCTCCCGAATTGCTAGGATTACAGGCGTGAGCACCAGTGCCTGGCTCTGCTGTCATCATTTTACCGTCTTTCCTTGGACACACAGAAACCTGTGGAAACAGCGCGTTGTTTCAGCTTCCCTCCCGCAGGCCACACACAGGCACGGGTGGCTCCCTGGCGTCCTCTGTGCCCGTGATGGGCCTGACACTGCCACCCCTCCTGGGTGGAGAAATCGGGGCACAAAGAACCACAGCTGCTTCCTGGTCCTGCAGCAGGCCGAGCAGCCGTGCGTGTCTCTGGTGGAGGCCCAGCGGGCTGCGAGCCACACTCCACTCCGGGAGTCTTTCCTTCAGGTCTGATGAGCTCTGCTCCGATGTCAGGACAGTGCAAGCAGCACTAGCAGTGAAAGTCACCAGAGGCCTCAGGCCTGGGGGGGGAGGATGGGCTCTGCTCCCTCTTCTCTGCTCCCTTTCCCTTCCACGGCTCCCAGCACAGAGCACGTTTCCTCCAAGGACGCCAGCCTTTGCAAACAAAGTTTCCGATCGGAGTTGTACTAACAGCCTTGGGAGGCCAGGAGGCCAGCTGCGAGAGGCTGCAGTCACTTGGGCCTCCAGCAGGACGTGTGGCTCTGACCTCCAGGGTCCCCTGAGGAAGGGAAGGAGGGCAGTTTCTCCTGTGTTGTCACCTTCACACCAGCAAGGTCACTGAGCCACACCACGTGTCAGCTTCAAGTGACTGTGTTGTGTATAAACATCTCAATACCACAGGTAGAAAAGCACAAAGCTATTTTTTGGTTTTTGGAGGGATAAGACCTTGATGTGTAGCTTAGGCTGGCTTACAACTCAAAACCCTCTGGCCTCAGCCTCCAAAGTGCTGGGACTACAGGCATGCACCACTACATCACTCGCCACCCAGTCGTTCCCCCACCCAGTCGCTGTCCTGGCGCACAGGTGGCCAGCATCTGGGAAAAACTGCATTCCCCTTTGGCTGGACATTTGGGGCAGTTACACGACAAGGCTTTGCTGGTCACCACATGCTTGCAATCTACCCGCTGGTGTGGGATTTGGGGTACAGGGTTGGCCCCCATTTGACCTGGGGTTACTTAGGGGTTCCTTTGCTCCTCGCTCAGCTGTGGCTTCTCACCACTTTCCACATTCGCTGTGGCGGTCTCTCCCGCTGACCTGGGGGAGCAGTAGGTTTTAGGAGTGTTGGTGGCCTGCGCCCCTGCTTCCCGCACCTCCGGGGGGGGGCTCTGGTTCCTGACACAGGAGGGCAACTGGAGGGGGGGTGTGCGCGGAGGAGAGGTGCTCTGTGTGGTAGACCAAGGTTCCTTCCAGGGCCGAGCCATCGTCATGCTAGCCCTGAGCAGGAAGTCAGCAGGCCTCCTTGCGTTTTAAAAATCAGAAAAGTTGACAAGGAACCCCCCTCCCCTCCCATCCAAACCAAAAGTTGGGCCTGGTGGCAATATGTAGGAAGATCTCTGGGCTTGCTCCAGGCAAACAAACAAAATTCTCACTGAAAAATGACAGCAAAGAGAGGTGGGGGTTGAATTCAAGTGGTTGGAGCACCATCTTCACCAATACAGGGCCAGAACTAAAACCCAGAACTGCCCAAAGGGGAAAAAACAAATCAGCCCTAAATCATCAGACAGTAAAAGTTAGGTCTGCGCTGGGGGAGCACAGCGTCCCCTGCAGGAGGAAGTGGGTCCGCAGCCCCATCTGGATGTGCTGAGCAGCCCCTGGCCGTGTGCTCAGGACCCACCCTGCACCCTGCTCGCCTGCCCTGCGGCTGAGCCCCAGGAGCCCCTCTGCACTGCCCACTACCCCCCTCCCCAGCCCTGGTTACGCCTCATGGTGCCATGCTGCCCCCTGCTGGCAGAAAATGAAATTCCACTGCAGGTTTTTGGCGTTGGGCCAAGCCCTGCCTGGAAGTGTGCAGGAGGGGAGGCCCGCCAGCCATCTGCCACGTCCCACCAGCTCCCCCTCCACAGCCCTATGGGTGGCCCCAGTGCTCCTGGCACCTGCCAGGACAGAGTGGCTCCTGAATTGGAGGGCAGCTGTGGCTTTTTATTTGCTTCTACTTTCTGGTGCTTTGTGAACTCCCTAGGAGACAGCTGGGCGGTCAGGATCAAACCCCCACCCCCCAACTGGATTTTCACTGCCAGCTCCCCAAAATCAAGTGCAGTCGCTTCAGAGGTGCCCCTGAGCCCCGAGTCTCCAATGCTGCTTCCACACAAGACCCCACTGCTTAGATGTGAGCTCCAGGTGTCACAGGCGTGTCCCTCCGATGCTCTTCTCACCCCTCCTCCCTCTCACAGGAGTCCAGAAGTCTCACAGGCTCTGCAAAATGAGTATCTAAACAATCCAGAGTTTTCTATGTCTTCACCCATGGGTTTATTTAAAAGGCCTTGATTTCAGGCTGGGCATGGTAGTACATGTCTATAATCCCAACTCCTCAAGGAAGCCCTTCCCTAACCTTCTGCTTCATTCCTCCCACAGAGTGATGCAAATGGGACTGCCAAGCCGCCTTTCCTCAGGTATGTGTCACCCTCTTGAGACATTCCTGGGAGCAGATCCTGGTGAGTGCCCCCTTTGGATCCAGCCTCCCACTTGGCCCTGCCCACACCAGGACTAAAGAGGTGTGGATGTGTGTGCTCTTGGACTTCTGCTCAAAACTTTGGCTTGCTCCCTACCCAGAAGGACAGCATGAGAGGATCATTGCGGTCAGCAAACAGTGTGAGGACTAGGGTTCTGTGTGGTAGCTTACACTTGTAATCCAGGCTACCTGGGAGGATTTCAATTTAAGGCCAGCCAGTCTAGGCAAAAGCTATCTCAATCAATGAGCAGAGGATCCCAGCTATGCCAGAGGCAGAGGTAGGAAGATCATGGTCTGAGGCCAGCCCAGATTTCCACCAAGACCCTCTCTGAAAACTAAAGCAGAAAGGGCTGTGGGTATGGCTTAAGTGGTAGTGCTTGTCTGCAGTCACCAGGCCCCGAGTCCAAACCCCAGCACCAAAAAGAACAAAGGAAATGCTGCACACTTGCGTATGACAGAGGGTTGCAGGATGTGGGCTCACCGTCATTCATGTAGATTTTTCTTCTCCCTGACAGTGGAGAGAACCCCTTTGCTACTGTGAAGCTCCGGCCTACGGTGACAAATGACCGTTCAGCGCCCCTCATTCGCTGAAGCTCACCTGCGGAGGGCCTTCCACACACGGCTCCACCAGGGGGCGCTCACTTCCCCACAGACAGATGCATTTTCTCCATTTTACCTGGCTGGGTTTATACATTTCTCTTTAAGATAAATGAATCATAGTTTAGCCACCAGCTCAATCAAAATATTTCCTTCCTAGTATTCTATTCAAAAAAATTGAGTTCCAATTCTTCCTGTAGCTTTTATTTTTGTATCTTTAGTTAACAGCTAGAATAAAGGACACACATGTGTGCTTTGTGAGGAGCTCTCTGGGCGACTACCTGTAGAAACGGGGGTTTGCTTCGAAAAGCATGAGCTGTTAACTAGCATCGGGGTGTTAAAATGCTGTGTAAGTTTGTGGCTAAGCATGCAGATCATCACTTTAAGCAATATAAATTATGAGACATGATATTAAATGTGAATTTTTTTTAACTTACCAATTTTCAACTTTTGATTGAACACAAGCTGGTCGCTGGCCTGGGAGAGGGGGCCACCCCGCGCAGCCCCCACACTCCGCCAGCACTCCCAGGGACTGGCCAGTTCCAAGGGTCCAGCCGGGTGGGCCCCCGTGAGTGGGCTGAGTGTGGTGCCCCCCTAAGCTAAGTGAGTGTTCACCATGGTCGCTTTATTTGCGTCCAAGTTTCCCCACACTGGGCCCCATGATCACTCACCTGCTCCCTGGGCCGGAGGCCTGCAGACACCAGGTTCTGTGAAGATGGCAGTGGCTGAGGTCAGGCTGGCTGCCACATGACTGGCATGTCACTGTGTGTGCGCACGTGCATGTGTGCCCTGCGCATGCCCTGTGCAGTGCCCAGCAGGCAGAGGCGGCTCAACATGGTATGAATTGCATTTATTTAAAACAGTATTTCTCACCATTCCCAAATTGAAGACTGCAAAACTAGAAGCAGAGCTTTCTGGAGTTGTTGCTGATGGGGACCCGGTGGGGTGCTCCCTTCCCTCCTGCAGACCCGCTCGCTCCTCACACCTCCGCGCCCTCCCCACCAACCCCACCAACCGTACAAAACAGTCCTGGAGCTGAATCGAAGAAAACTATTGTACACGACATTTACATTTCATTAGAAAAGAGGGCCTGTCCCTTTAAGTGAAGACCGCCCCGCAGTTGGGGCACCTTCGCTTCCTCAAGGCAAAGCAGCAGATGAAGCCCAGGGGAAACAGGACGATGGCCAGGAAGACACCCAGGAAGGTGAAGCAGTCCTCCAGCACCCCGACCCTGTGGAGAGAAGCAGGGGGTGAGCACCCCAAGTCCCGCCACACCCCACACCTGGCCCCCTCAGCAAGGGCCACCAACTGCCCCAGCCACTGAGTACCCCTTGTGAATCCAAAGGAATGGGGAAAAGCTGGGCATGGTGCCTCACGCCTGTATTCCCAGACACTCAGGTGGAGACTAGGTGGATGGCTAGGAGACTGGGGGTGTGGCTCCTGTGGTGGAGAGCAGAGCGCTAGTGAAGGAAGGCAGGAGGGCACAAATATGTCCGCTTCTAGTAAAGACAGACTCCTCCCCACCCACACCTATCCTTATCCTGCAGTACTTTTTCCATTGTTAAAGAGTTGTAGAATTTCTATCATCTAGAGTACAACTATAAAAAAAAAAAAGAAAAACAGCAGGGCGCCGGTGACTCACGCCTGTAATCCTAGCTACTTAGGAAGCTGAGATCTGAGGATAGCGGTTCAAGGCCAGCTAGGGCGGGAAAGTCCGTAAGACTCATCTCCAGTAACCCACCAGAAAACCAGCAGTGGCGCTGTGGCTCAAATGGTAGGGTGCAGACAGCGTCCAAGGCCCAGAGTTCAAGCCCCTCCACCAAAGGAGGAAAAAAAGAGTCCAGTGGATAGGGGCGCAGCCACGCAGGTCTGGAATCTAGGAACCTGGGGAAGGCCGACTTCTGTGTCCTACTGGACAAGGTCAAGGACGGCCTGCAGCCTGCGCAGCACAGAAGTGGGGGGTGGGAGGGGGATCATGCCTGAGGTGAGGCCCCGACTCTGAACTTGCAGCCTCCCCAGTGTTGGGCTTACAGGCGTGCGTTGCCACACCCACAGGAGCCCAGTGCTCCACTCCTTAGGCTACTTCTGGAAAGCTCTAGATTCAGAGCTGAATACAAGACCCAAAAGAGCATTGGTCCCTTTAGGTTCTCAGGCCCAAGACCCTGGAGAGCCAGCCAAGAAGCCAGGGCTGAGAAGGAATGCCAGGCTACCAGGTGACAGCTGAGCTGGTCCTGGAGGGGGTGCGCAGGGACAGTGGCCCAGGAAGCCATCACCTTAGTGTCGTGAATACACTCCCCAGACAGCCCTGTGTGGCCTGGAGGAAGGCAGCTGGCTGGCTGCAGTCTGCCCCAGCAGCTCTAGAACAAGGTGCCCACCCCCCACTCTGTCCCAGCGGCTGGGCCAGGCTCCTGTGGCCTTCCTTCCCACGGTCATGCTGCCAGCCCAGATGGCAGGACGCCCCCACCCAGCCACATACACCTGAGGCCACGCGGCGCGGCGGGCCGGGGCGGGGCCTGTGTGCCGAGGCAGGTGGCACTGGCACACGGAGCTTCTGCACCTCCCGCCCCTGCTGTAGAAATTCCCAGAAACTGCATGTTCCAGTTACGCGCTGTCTGTCCAGAGGAGCCAGCTGCGAACGTTCCAGAGAAAAGTCTTCCCTTGGAAGGGGCCCTGGCGTGCCCGGCCCAGCACCCTGCCAGTCTGTGCCACCTCCTGCCTCCCAGGCTGCTGCTCCCTGGGGGCCCGGGCAGCAGGAGCTGTGTCAGCCAGGCCGGCGGGGCTCTGCCCAGGAGGGCTGTAGAAGCCCTGCTGTCTGCATCTTGTTACACTGGTATCCTGCCTGCAGGTGGCTGCTGGCCTCTGCCATCCAACATCCCCATTCCCCAGCTCCTCCTTTTCTCCATTCAGGTCACTACCACCACCACCACCACCACCGCTGTTTCTGTTCATCTCAAGGCCCAATCCCCCCATTTGCTCTCAGACTCTGGGAACTGCAATTCCCGAGTGGCGGTACGTGCCTGTAATCCCAGCATTCCAAAAGCTAAGCTCATATGTCCCAGGCCATGCTGGGCTACAGTGAAACCTCACCTCAAAAAAAAAAAAAAAAGCGCTTGCCTTGCATGCTTGAGGCCCTGGGTTCAATTCCTCAGCATCCATAAGCAAAAAAAAAAAAAAAATGAGGGTGGCAGACGCTGGTGACTCACGCCTGTAATCCTAACTACTCAGGAGGCTGAAATCTGAGGATCACGATTCAAAGCCAGACTAGGCACAAAAAGGCATATGACTCTTATCTCCAATAAACCACTCAGAAAACCAGAAGTGGTGCTGTGGCTCCAGTGGTAGAGTGCTAGCCTTGAGCTGAAGAGCTGAGGGACAGCGCCCAGGCCCAGAGTTCAAGACCCACTACCGGCTAAATAAGTAAATAAATAAAAATAAATGAGGGGCTGGAAATGTGGCTTAGTGGTAGAGCGCTTGCCTAGCATATATGGAGCCCTGGGTTCAATTCCTCAGTACCACATGCGCAGAAAAAGCCAGAAGTGGCACTGTGGCTCAAATGGTAGAGCAAAAGAAGCTCAGGGACAGTGTCCTGGCCCCAAGTTCAAGCCCTGGACTGGCAAAAAAAAAGAAAAAGAACAAAGAAAAGAAAAAACAGGCCTGAGGCACGGACTCATAAGGAGAATGCTGGCCTAGCATGCAGGAGGCCCTGGCTTCCATCTCCAGTATAACCAACAAAAAACCACCACAAAAGAGAAAAAGCAACACAGAGCCATGGCCAAAACTAGCTGACTACCCCCAGCCACCAGGCCATGCGCCAACCCCTGCCTTTGTCTCCAAACCCATGAAGTTCCTGGTTCAAGCCCTGGTTTCCACCCGCCACAGCTGAGCAAGGCAGCTGGGTCACGAGTGCCAGACTGCCCACTGAGGGCTGCCCCGGGCCACTGCCCACGTGGAGTCACTTCTCAGTGAGGACCAAGTCCACGGCACCTGTGGGAGGGGCATGGGGGCCCCTTGCAGTCGCTCGTCAAGGCTCAGATCTGCCAACAACGAGCTGTGACCCGCCAGAGCCCGTCAGGACAAGCTGCCTGCTGCAAGCGGCCCCAGCTTCGTGGGCCCAGGGATGGTGAGGGGACCTGTCAACACCTTTGCCTTGAGCACCCCAAAATCCTTCACCCACAATTCTCAATGCCCCAAACTGTACACAGAGCCCTTCCCCAGGCGGGGCGATTTCCAGTCTCACCACCAGGGCCCAGCTCCTCCACCTCGCGAGAGTGGGTAGCTTTTGATCTGAGAAACCACTGTGGCCTCTAGCTCACTCTGAAGTCAGGAAAATGCTATGGCTGCTGCTACAGCAGGGGGACCCTGCCCCAAAGCTAGCCTGTCCCCAGCGGCCTCTTCTCCTCTAGCCAACCCCCCAAAAAGCTCAAGTCAGCCAAGACAGGCTCCAGCTCTTCCTCCGGAGGGACAGAGAGGGACAGGGCTGCGCTGCCCACACAGACAAATGGGGAACTAATTGTGAGCCGCCCCTCTGCACCCTGCCCTGAGCCTCACAAGCAAATGGCCCTCGATCCTGCTGACGAGGGGTCAGGGGACCCAAGTGGGCAGAGAGACAGGCAGCCCTGAGTATGCCAGGCAGAAAGGCCTGGCCTGGCCCTGGCTCCAGACACCCCAAAGTCCCACTGAGATACCAAGTGGATACAAGGGGTCCAGAAGGGCCACAATGGGGGAGAGGACCCCACTGGGGGCCTCAAGAGCAGCCCTCCCCCGCGCTGCACGAGGCCCACAGCCCCCCAGGAAAAGGGGCAGGACTCCCTCAGCCAGCTTCAGGCTCAGGGTAGGGCACGATGCCCCCACCCCACCCTGGCTGTCCCACAGTCTCCACAACACGGGGCGCACCGCAGGCAGGCCACCCGCAGTCAGGGCACATGGAGCCCGCCGAGCCAGCCGCCATAGACCCTGTTCCTTCCCCACAGCAGGGCCAGGGCCCGGGCTGGGCACAGGTGGCAGGGACAGCCACTGCGCCGGAAGCCCCAGGGGCTCCGGGGAGGCCCTCATTGCCCCTCGAGTTCCCAGGGCCCCCAAAGACACCAGCAGCCTCCACACTGACCATCCAGGCCTCTGCCCAGGACAGCTGTGACTTCCTCCTGCCTTCCAGGCCTCCACTCGCTGCTTTTCCGCCTGCCTCTCCGGTCACCCCCCAAAACAGGGCATCCACAGACAAAGACCCAGCAGGACTCACAGGGCTGGGAGGAGGCAATACAGGCTTGGGACTGACTTTGTGCCCCGGGGCACCTTGGCCAGCCTCACAACCTGCAGTGAGCCCTAGCAGACCAAGCGGCATGCTGCCGCCTCACCCTGCACCCAGGGATAGGGGGGACATGGTGGGGAGTGGGGATGGAAGGAGGGCTGGAGGCCACCCCGGAGGGTGAAGGCCCGCAG